CTTCTTCAGTTCTTCTGTGACTTCTACAAACTGGAGAAACTGGAGCAGCAAAACGTTCTCACGCAAAAACGTTTGTCCAGTTGACAAAATTACATTTTCTTTTGCTCATAGGATTACAGCTGTAAAATAGGGCATGTTGAATTTAGTGAATGACAACTATCTTGCCTAAACCTGTTTCACCACAGCTGGAAGTGTCCCACTTTAGGTTTGCAGAACTTCTGGTTAATGGTTTTCTTTGGCAAAATGTCTGTGGAAATGTCTGATGTATTCTCCAGCAGCTTCATAAATCTGCCCCATCACCAAATCTTCAACCAACAAAGTCCACAAAGAATAAACATTTTTCATGAACAATTTATCCACAACTATCAAGAGAAGAAAGCCAAAAGCTTAAAGGAAATAACGACCACACATTAGTCACAAACTGAACAAAACTAACTTAGACTTAGACTAAGTTTTTTATTCATATATGGCTTTTCACAGACATACAGTTTGTCACAAAGACGCTTTACAGAGCATTATTCATTAGCCATAGCTACAGCTGCCCTGGGGCAGACTGATGGAAGCGCAGCTGCCAATCTGTATCATTGGGCCCTCTGACCTCCACTATCACGCACACACTTTCATACTAGGCAGTGTGGGTGAAGTGTCTTGCCTAAAGACACAACAACAGTTTTTGAAACTGGCGCCCCCTGTGGCTCCTGATTTTCCCAGTGTCTCCATCCAGTCCTGACCAGACCCTGTCCTGCTGAACTTCTCAGATCTGACAAGATCAGACTTTGACAAGGAGGTATGGCCACACTTAGACAAACTTTACTGATCCACAAGGGAAATGATTTGGACACAGTAGGTCACACATCACAGTATAATATAACAACAAAGAGGAAAACTCTAAATGGTAATAATAAATTCTAAATAAGTAGCAAAGATAGCAAGAGACTGGTGTCAGATAAGGCATATATAAGTCATGATGTTATGGTCCTAGAGATTTCTCACATTCAAACTGCACAAGTCTATCTATGCTAATATCAACATCATGAAACTGACTTTTAATTTTAATTGTAGAATTAGTCTGAGTTAAGAAGTTCCTTCTGTTTATTCATGACGTTAATTTTGTTCAGTGTGTCATTATTGTGTGGCCGTTGTTTCCTTTAAGTTTTGGTCTTTCTTCTCTTGATAGTTGTGGATAAATTGTTCATGTTAGAATGTTTATCCTTTGTGGAGCTTGTTGGTTGAAGATTTTGTGATGGGGCAGATTTATGAAGCTGCTGGAGAATACCCGAGACATTTACACAGACACTTTGCCCCAGAAAACCATTAACCGGAAGTTCCTCAAACTTCCGGCTGTTGTGAAAAAAGTTCTATAAGACGATCGTTGGCTTTCTTGTTTGTGTCTATTTGTGATGAATATGTGAGAAACGTCTAGACGTGAACCTTGTGATTAGAAGGTTAGGGGCGGGGCAATCGTGCAAGAGGGGGCGGGGTTAGGGGCACTTGCCAGGGAGTGGGAGGGACAGGGGGGCGGGGTCAAAGCAGGCAAAGAAATTGGGCTGCAAAGTGGGCTGCATGGACCGTGTTAGCAATCTCGACTAGCCACTTAGCATTAGCAGCAGCAGCACAACCCCATATTGGATTAAAGCTAACTCCTCGCACCCCCCTCCCCCTCCGCCCTATCTCCAGTCCCTATCCGCTCCGACATCAAAGCTAGCATTAGCAACTCATTTTCCTATGCAAATGCTAAATGGGAGAAGGCGCGTGGAGAGATGGGGGGGGAGTCATTTGATTTGGTTTTCAGTGAAGATCGTGACGGCCCCGTGAGACCGCCGTTTGGGGCTCGTGTAGTGGAAGGGAGGGGGGTCCTGTGGGGGGCGTCTACATATTACCAAAACAAACCATTCAGCAAACAAACATTTAGACGCTGATGAATTATGGATCAGCAGTGGAGGAGAGTCGGAAACCCACGAGCGAGGACTGTGACGGAGTGAAGGCACCGGTGTGGGGCAGGTACAGTGTGGACTGATGTAAACATGGACAGAGGGTTTGGTGTTTTGGTGCAACTTTTCCAGTGGAGGGTCCGCTACCTGCTTGTCTCCATGGATTTGTTTTTGCTTTGCCTTGAATGTTCTACGGTATGACAGTAAACATCTACAGTATGTACGTCCACATTTATTCATTATGGGTGTTTCTTTCTCTATTGCTCAAAAATACAATGAATTCTTCTGTAAATAAGGGTGACTCTCCACTAGGGTAGCCAGATTTTCAAAATAAAAACATCAAGACATTTCTTCTTTTTTGGTGGTTGGTAATAATAAATCGTGAAACGAGTGCGTAATGAAAGAAAATTGTTACGCGGAGACCATTTATAACAAACATGTGAGCCAGTATAGTCACATTTTCGTCGTGTTTTGGTCAATTTTAAGCTGATTTTTTTGTATTTTACCAAAACAAATTACAATTTATGCCTCTTCTTGCTCTCGGCAGGTGTCAAATTGGTCAAAAATAGTGACACCTGGGATCATTTCTTGTATAAAATTGGGACAAATCACTAGTTTTGGATAAATCTGCTCAAAACTGGGACTGTCCCGGGTAAATAGGGACGCCTGGTCTGGTCACCCTCCACAGATCTGAACTGTAATGTAGCTGTAACCTGCTTGTCTCCCTCATGATAGATGGGCTTAATCTATACTGTGGAACATTCTAGACAAAGCAATAACATCTCCATGGAAACAAGCAGTTGGTGCACCCTTCACAAGTTTTTACGTCTATTTTTTACGTCTAATGTTTGTGTAATCCTGGTCACATTCTCTGGTTTAAGCTTCCTGTTTATTCTCGATATTTTAAGGACATTTTACCATTTTTAAATTTAGTTTTAAAGCTGCACGTGTAACTTTTCTGCTGGAGTGTCTGCCACCTGTTTGTCTCCTAAAGATTTGATTGCTTTGCCTGGAATTTTCCCCAATATGGCTTGAAAAACACGCACTTTTACTGCGAATGGGGTCGCCTCTCCACAGATCTTGCCTGTAACTTAGATGTGTTTTTGGAAGTAGATGAGTTTAATGTGACGCTGTGGAACGTTCTAGCCAAAGCAGTAGTATTTCCACGGCAACAAGCAGCCGACAGACCCTCCACCAGAGAAGTCGCAGAGTACACCTTGAAATTTTGAATCGCTATGGCAACTTCTTTATTTTTCATCATGGCTATCAAGGCTATTATTTTTTTAGTTTTGGTTCCAGTTGATTCTTGAAGTAGACTTTATGACTTCTTAATGCTGGCCTTAAAATGAGGCAATTCTGTCCTGCAGTAAAACTGAACGCTCATGTTTCAGTTTTTATTGCGTGTCACTGAAGGCACCATAAAAACACATGAGAACATTAGTATGAAGCATGTCTAGAGCACAGGCCACAACCTTTGGACCACCTGGGACTGAAATAGACTTCAATAACTGCCTTAAAATGTTCCAAACATGTATATAAAATAATAATATGAATTGGAGGTCTTTAAAACCAATTAGAGGTGGATAAGAAGATTCTCTATGAAAATACGCCAAGTGGTCGGTAGCTGAAGCGTATTGATGTAGTAGAGGTAGACCAATATGGCCAATATTTGCTGTTTTTAGCGTTGAATTCTTTAGAGCGAAGACGTAACAACACAAAATATGACTACTGTATTTTCTGGACTATAAGTCGCTCTTTTTTTTCACAGTTTGGTTTGTCCTGCGACTTATACTCAGGTACGACTTATATATTCAAATATATAATTCCACATGTTTGTGATTTTCACACTGACAGCCTCAAGAGGCTCTAGTCTTGTGTGTCAGTATCTGCTGCTCCTGTTACTCCTGCACCACCGTCACTTGGCTCTACTGTGCATGTCTCCTGCTGAAAGAGTCTCTGTTCTGTCTGTATCATGTCAGTGTGTTGTAGGATTTCAGTAGATTTCAGACTCTCTCGGGGGTGGGGATAGGTGTATCAATCAGGTATGAGTGGATGTTCGGCTACTGAAGTTTGAGATGTTTCTTCTCGTCTTTTACGCACTCACCTGCATTTACCACATACGAGTCATGAAAACGTATCCCACTCACTAATGTTCATTTAACATAAGAACTGATTTTATCACATGGCAATAAAATGTCATATTCTTCAGATTACAAACTGCAAGTAATGAAGTATGCAGCCAAAAACAGTAATTGAGCAGCAGATAAAAATTTGGGAGTGAGCGAGAAACTTGTGAACGGAGGATACTCTAACTGCAATGAAGAAAACTAAAAAAGCTCATTGCGGTTAAAAGCTTAATTTATACTAATATATATATATATATATATATATATATATATATATATATATATATATATATATATATATATATATATATATATATATATATATATATATATATATATATATTATATATATAAGTTCCATAGTGGTCCATGGTTGTATACTCGTCTCTGTGCTCTTATATTTGTTCTGATACAGCTCAAGGTCATTGTAAAGCTGTTCAGGAAAGCTTCATTTCTGGCCTTTGAATGTGACTTTTTTAGTATTGATACCTGCTTAAATAAGTTTAGTTTCAATACTAGTTTAAGTATTGATTAGGATCTGTTTTTGGATACTTTTGAAAGCCTGAAAGGTTTCTCTAAAAACATTGAAGGATTGAAGAATTGGTCTGGTCCAGTCCAGCTTCACCTCATCTTACCTTAACTTTATTATTCTTGAAATCATTCGGGGATTCTGTTTGCACCTCTGTCCATCTTTACATGTGTGTGTGCGCTCATGAGCCTAAAGCTGTGCATGCCTGTCCGTATCCATGGCAACCTCTCCTCAGTGCCACACACTTAACAAGTGCGGATGACAGCAAGCTAACACTTAGCAGCGTGAGACACAACACCAGACAGACAAGTGAAGTCGGAATGTGCCACCTAATCCGCGTCAGTGTGCGTCGGCCATCTTGTTTTTTTTTTGTTTTTGTTTACATTCCCAGCATCCTCCTCTCATCCCCATTACCTCTCACAGACGCGCACGGTCCACGCGGCGATGATCCACGATGAGATGCTGAAGACGAGGAGGACGGTGCCGGGGCAGATGGTCATGAGGGTTTTCATGACGAAGCGCGTGTTGAAGTTGATCTTGTTGAGGGCCCCTATGCTCCGAGATGACGCGTCAGTGAAGAGCTTGCTGTGCAGAAGCATGACTCGCCCGATCAGGTAGAGTCTGAAGAACATGGGGATGGAGAGGATGATGTCCACGTCGGCGTCGGCAACGGAGGGGGTGTAGGTGAAGGCGAGGCGGGCGGTCCAGGTGAACACGTACTGACCCGGGATGGGGTGGATGGCGCACACCAGCAGCTCCAGCACGATGAAGAAGATGCGCTCGTATGTCATGGCTATCCTCCAGTCGTCCGCGCCGTTGTCCACCATGAACAGCTGCGGGGACAAGAGGACACAGGAGGTCAGGGCGGATTCACTCTTCACTGGAGTTAACTTACACATATTAGGGTTTAGGGTGCATTATGTAACTTTGTGATTGATGGTCCTTCAGTGGAGATGTCATTGCTCTGCCTGGAATGTTCCACAGTGTGACATTAAACAGCTCCACTTTACATTTATTCAGTCACAGGTGGTTTTATATCTCAAAAATACCTACAAAAACAAACATTCTGACTGTGAGCGGGGGTCGCCTCTCCACAGATCTGACCTGTAACTTGGTCTGGTTTGTTCTCCGTGAAGATAGAAAGGTTTAATGCCACAAAGCAATAACATCTCCATGAAGAAAAGCATTTGGCAAACCCTCCACCACTAGAAAGGTTGCACAATGCAGCTTTAAAGCTATTGTGGGGAATATAGTGTAGGCCTATGTGTAGAGGGATTGAATATTTTCTAAAATATTGATGTTAAATTGCTGTAAAATGGTCAACAGAATAAATAGTTGAAATGTTAAAGGTGAACTGTGTAACTTTTCTAGTGGAGGGTCTGTCACTTGCTTTTCTTCATGGAGATGTTATTGCTTTGTCTGGAATGTTTCACAGTATGGCATTAAACCTTTCTATCATCATGAAGACCAAACCAGACCAAGTTACAGGTCAGATCTGTGGAGAGGCGACCCCGCTCACACTCAGTCAATATGTCCAGGTGTTTTTGAGCTATAAAACCATCTGTAATTGAATAAATGTAAAGTAGAGCTGTTTAATATCACACTGTGGAACATTCCAGACAGAGCAATGACATCTCCATAGAAACAAACAGGTGACAGACACCAACTGGAACTTTTCTGATGTGGGTCTGTCACCTGTCTGTCTTCATGGAGACAGATGTGTTTAATGTCATAGCATGGAACATTTCAGGCAAAGCAATAATATCTCCAGGGAGACGAGCATGTGACAGACCCCGTACCTGAAAAGTTGTGCAATGCACCATTAACAGAACAGGCCTAGATTCAGTTACCATTTAAAGATATTCTAAAGGGGCCTATTAAAAAGAAAGTAATGCTGGTGCTCGGTTAGCATGCTAATTCACACTGTAATGTTGGCAAAACTCTGTCACAAACCATTTACAGATGCACTGTGTAACTTTTCTGGTGGGAGGGTCCATCAAATGCTTTTCTTCATGGAGATGTTTTTGCTTTGTCTGAAATGTTTCACAATATGGCATTAAACCTTTCTATCATCATGGAGACCAAACCAGACCAAGTCACAGGTCAGATCTGTGGAGAGGCGACTCCGTCAGAATATCTGTTTTTCTAGATATTTTTGAGTTATAAAACCATCTGTAATTGAATAAATGTAAGGTAGAGCTGTTTAATGTCACACTGTGGAACATTCCAGGCAGATCCCAACTTGAAAGTTACATAGTGCACCTTTAACGTGAACATGCTTTTTCATTAATGTCTTCTTTAGTTTAATAAATATTTACATTGTAAATTGTCTCTAAAAGTGTCAAAACTAAGAATGAACACACAGGAACTATAGTAAACAAACAAACAAAAAATTAAAAATAAAAAAAAAATCTAAATAACTGAAAACTTGCTTTAGATTTGGTGTTGTTAAAAATAGCCACCCTTTGCTTTGATCACTGCTTTGGATTTTAGCATTTCTTGACCCTGACATGGCACAGCTGTGAAGTGAAAACCATTTCAGGAGACTTCATCATGAAACTCATTGAGAGAAGACCTAAGGCAGGGATCTCCAACCTGTAGCTCAGGAACTACCAGTAGCTCTCCACTCTCTTCTAAGTAGCTCACCAAGGGATGTTTGAATTCTATGTATTGGGCTGAATAAGTCAAATTTGATCAAATAAATGCTTATTTCCATTCTACATGAATCATTTTGATGCCGAACTTTGGACACTAATAAACAGATAATGGTTTATGTTTTATAGGCATCTAACTGTACTTCATCTAAGACTCGCCGTGGCTCTTCTGTTCACTCAATTTCTTAAGACCGCTCAAAGGTATTTTCTCTGGTATTGTTTGTTTTGTAAAAGCAGCTCAAAGGGGGATAAAGGTTGGAGTCCCCTGGCCTAAAGTTTGCAGCACTGTCAACAAAGCAAAGGGTGGATACTTGGAATTTGAATAGAAGATATAAAAAATATTTCATTGAATTATTTAAAATGGCTTCTTTACTTGATATATTTGAGGTTCTTTGTCTCTATCTAAAATGTAGAAAGTAAAGATAAAGAAAAAAACACTGAATGAAAGAACACGTGTCTAAACTTTGGACTGGTAGTGTGCACTAGTCTGAAGCTCTTGATATTGTGGGGCACATTATAATGTAGGTCTATGTGTAGAAGTGTTCAATATTTCCTAAAACACTGACATTAAATTGCTGTAAAACGGTCATCAGAATAAACAGCTGAAATGTAAAGTGGCCCCGTGTTGGTGCCCTGTAAATGTACATAAAGCACGTGGATGGGACGTTTTGACAGTGGGCGTAAATTGTCGGTGAATGAGCCATAAACCATCTCACCGTTGAAAAGGTGAAAGCTCGATATGTCCTCCTCCCTCCTGTGTTTTCAAAAAGCTGAGGATCTATGTCCTAAACTGTCCATAGATTAACATTGAGCTGAAGGACGGGCCAAACGTAACAGGGTTTTTTTTCACGTAAAGACTTCATTTTTAAATAATCGTGTGATTCACCTACATTTATTTATTTTGTTGTTTTCAGGGGAATTGCTGGTTTTCAGATGACATCACCATATTCTACAGTCCAGTCATATTTAAAGGTGCATTGTGTCACTTTTCTTTTTCATTTCTTTTCACAACTCACCTTTATGTTACAGATAATACTCCCTACAACTGTACAATTCACCCTTATGTAACAGATAATACTCCCTACAACTGTAAAACAACTCACTTTTATCGAATAGATAATACTCCCTACAACTGTATGACAACTAACACTTACATAACAGATAATACTCCCTACAACTGTACCACAACTCACCCTTATGTAACAGATAATACTCCCTACAACTGTACAACAACTCACCCTTATGTAACAGATAATACTCCTACAACTGAATAATCGATAATACTCCCTACAACTGTACAACACTTACAAACAGATAATACTCCCTACAACTGTACACAACTCACCCTTATGTAACAGATAATACTCCCTACAACTGTACAACAACTCACCCTTATGTAACAGATAATACTCCCTACAACTGTACAACAACTCACCCTTACATAACAGATAATACTCCCTACAACTGTACAACAACTCACCCTTACATAACAGATAATACTCCCTACAACTGTACAACATCTTACCCTCATGTAACAGATAATACTCCCTACAACTGTACAACAATTCAGTCTTATGTAACAGATAATACTCCCTACAACTGTACAACAACTCACCCTCATGTAGCAGATAATACTCCCTACAACTGTACAACAACTCACCTTTATGTGACAGATAATACTCCCTACAACTGTACAACTCACCCTTATATAACAGATAATACTTGAACTCGAAGTTGAAGTATAAGTCGAAGTCTTAAACCTTGGGGCTTGTGAAATAATGTAGTGTAGATATAAAGTAATATACACATGCAGGAGCTAAAAGAAAAAAAAAAAAAAATAAAAAAAAAAAAATATATATATATATATATATATATATATATAATATATTATATATATATATATATATATATATATATATATATATATTTGTACAAAAAAAATGAGATAGAGACGCCGGATTTGACTCACCTGTATCTCCCGGGCGTGGTACATTATTATAAGACCAAGCAGAATAACAGTGGATAGGCTGATAAGGCATTTCAGTGCAAATGAGTATGAAGACTCCTGCAGAGACACAAAAACACACAAGAATTACAACGATTACAATAATACCACTGCTCCCCGGTGCAGGGAAGCAGCGAAAACACTCATGTTTAACACACAATCTGGAGGTAACCTGATTATCCTCCCAGCAAGGCCCTTTTTATAAATTCATCACGGTGAATATTTAGAATGCTCTGAATACATAAGGGAAGTGAGGAAGAACTTTAGACCCCTGCAAACTCTTAATTGCTCTGTTTTTCACATTTTTATAACTCAGGTACAGTGCATTTAATAAGAACTCCTCACCAAAAAGCTTGAAGAAAGAAGAAACAATGCAATAAAAAATCATAAATCTGTTAAATACACTGAAGATGCACTATGTAACTTTTTGGTTGGGGGTCTGTCACCTGCTTGGATATGGATGGATATGTCATTGCCCTGGTTAGAATGTTCCACAGTGTGACATTACACAGCTCTGCCCCACGTTTATTCAATTACAGGTGGTTTTACAGCTGAAAAATACCTAGAAAAACAGGCATTCTGACTGTGAGTGGGGTCTCCTCTCCACAGATCTGAACTGTAACTTGGTCTGGTTTGGTCTCCATGAAGATAGAAAGCTTTAATGCCATACTGTGAAACATTCCAGACAAAGCAAAAAAAGAAAAAAAAAGGAAAAAGATTTGACGGACCCGGAATCGGAAACAATCTGCGTCCAGACACATCGTTTCTGTGTCCACAAGTCTTCTCTATCCACACAGCTTTGAGCATATTTGTTTACGTTTTACAGACATAAAACTTAAAACCACATGACTCATTTGCATAAACTGAGAGCTCAAAAAACAGTTCAGTATTGTGCACTGATGCGATTCAGTTTCTGTCGGACTAAAGGACACGACTCAGTGGAATGTGAGTGTCCTTTTTAGGGGTGTTCTGCTGATGGTGAGTCTGTTCTGTGTTCTGTGTTGGAGATGGTTCATGTGAAACTTTTCAGAGATTATACGTCTGCAGGTCGTACACACACACACACGTTTATATGAATGGACAGATATTCTAGACTCTTAGTGTTTTGGAGGTGAATTACTTCACGGTGCACAGACCTACATCAGAGTATCAGTGTTTTCAGGCGTCCACACAGTGCTGGATCAGATGAATTCATGGGAACTGGAGGCACCACATCATTCTGTCTCTAGAACCGTTTTCCATCAGATTAGTGTGAACGATCACTGCATCCACAACCAAAACAACTCTAATACACACTAGTTTGGATGGGGCCTTAGCACGTTTTTTTCTTATATACAGGAAATTTCATATTTATTGTGATTTTTAGCCAAATGTGATGAATCAATGAATTATTTAAGGAACAAAACCATTGTGTTTTAAATGTGTTTATTGTGTATAAATGTGGGTGAATAAAATGTGAAATGTGGGACCAGCCTCTCAAATTTGCAAAACAAATTTACCTACGAGTACGAATGAAGCGACTTAACCTAACCTGAGTCTGTGCTACTCAAAGTCAAAATAAATACTCCTAGTGGTTCTAATCCGTTTTTACAGTAAGTGAGAAAGAGGCACTTGTGTTGATCAGAACTGGGGCTTGTAACCAGTCCACCAATCACAGCCGAGGGTTCGCACGGCCAGATTAACACACGCAGATCAATACATTTCACAATTCGATCAATTCTATTTAATCCTTGGTCCTAACATGAGCCAGCGCTGCACTTCATTCTGATATTGACTGCGGGTCGTATCCTTGAACCGCTGGATGGATCAACCAGCTCACACCGTCCAGCTGTTTACATCCACACCGCCGCCGCTGCCGCCACACGCTTTTACAGTGGACATGTTATTGCTCTGCCTGGAATGTTTCACAGTATGGCATTAAACCTTTTTATCTTCATGGAGACCAGACCAAGGCCAGGTTACAGGTCAGATCTGTGGAGAGGCGACCCCGCTCACAGTCATAATGTCTGCTTTTCCACATATTTTTGAACCATAAAACCACCTGTTACTGAATAAATAAGGTAGAGCTGTTTAATGCCATACTGTGGAACATTCAATGGCATCACTATAGAAACGAGCAGGTGGCAAACCCTCCACCAAAAAGTTACATAGTGCACCTTCAAAAGCCCTATACACATGCAGCATTTTCTATGTATTTTTGCAGCAGTACAGACATATTTTAGAAGCATTTATGTGCGTGGTGTCAGTATCTAATTATAAAGCACTTTATTGTCTGATAATCAGGAAGTGCACATTAGAATGGTAGCTGTTGTTAGCTTTACGGTGATTATATTGTATTGTGGTGAATAATTAGGACTCTAGGAATGCATCAGGTAAGTGAGGAATAACTTAAGGTCACTGCAAACTATAAAATAAACATTTTAAGATGTTAAAATCAGGTATAACACCTTTAACTGCATTAACGCTAACTTGTTTCAGGTTTTTGAAGTGGCTGTACACATTTTTTTCATGTAATTAAAGGTGCAGGTGGAGAGTTGGCCATCTGCTTGTCTTCATCAAAATGTTCCACAGCATGATCCAATGAGATTGATTCATTTGTCTTCTGATAGTTTATGTTATTAGGTTCTTTTTTTAGGCGTGCACACGGCGTGCACAACAAAACACAAAACAGAACATGGCAACTCAAATAGGACATTTCTGACCACAGTAAAAGAGAGAAGCACATTATCAGTGTAGCCACAGTGTCTTAAAAGTCTTAAAAAGGTCTTAAATTTCATGTTCCTAAATTAAGGCCTTAAAAAGTCTTAAATTATGTTGTTCAAGTCTTATTTTTTTCACAAAGGTCTTAAATTTCATTAGCCCGTTTTTTTGTAGACTCAACCGGGCTACAGTGCAATGTTAAATAAAGGGAGATAGAGTTAATGAACGTCTAATTTGGAGTATGCGCAAACAATACTTTGGTTTCTGGCGACGGCGGCAGTGAGTAAACAATCAGTAGAGTGGAGGAAGATGTTGGGGGTCTTAAAACGGTCTTAAAAAAGTCTTAAATTTGGCGTAGTCTAACCTGGGGATACCCTGATTCTGGACTGGGATGGAGCAAACATCATTGGGACAGAGGAAAACAAACATCGTCACTGGATTAAAGACGCAATCGAAATATAGAAATGTATCCATGGGACGATAAACCAGGACGAGGGGCTTTTTTACTCTCACACACTTGGGATACTGTCCTGAGGAAGTGGGACTGCAGGTGGCGCTGTCGTCCTGCCTCCACCGGTAGAAAAACAGCGCAAAAACCTGTTTAAATCAGCTGACCAGACACGTCACAGAAACACTCTGAGGAAGAGCACAGGAGCAGAACAAACTGTAAGGTATGAAAACAAACTCTGAAAGAACCTAATAACATATGTTCTACAGTATGCCATTAAACTTATAGTCAGGCTGGTGCCACCTAGTGCCTCCGCTCAATTTAATTTCTTTCCAGAGACTAGGTCAGGAATCAGAATACACTAGACCAGGGGTGCTCAATACGTCGATCGTGATCTACCAGTTGATCGCCAAGGTTGTGTGGGTAGATCGTGTGTCTCGTCTCGGACTCGCGTTTGGACTCGGTCTTGTCTCTCACTCAAGGTCTGACACTCAACAAGTGTGATCATATTTCATTCCGGCCGCTGCTGTTGGTAATAAACTTGTAGCGGGTGCAGGAGCGTGTGGGGCGTCTCAGTGCAGCCTGTGCGCTCATTTGAAACCCGCGGAGACTCTACGGCACACAAAGCAGGTCTACAGCATAGAGCAGGCCCCTCTACAGAACAGACCTACTGCCACATTTGGCTGAAGTTTGTCTAACAAAAAGTGACAAAAGTGCATCTGTGTTTGTCACAATGTGCGTTTGGTTTGGTAAATGTGCAGAGGCTGGTAAATATCACTGCAAAACCAGAAAAGAATGTAACTCCAGTTTGGAACTTTAAAAAACAGGTTTAAAAATCTTCCTTCACTTTTTTCACAGTTTTGTGTAAAGTGCCAGAGGAAGTTCTCTTAAAGAAGAGGTTCTCAAACTGTGGGGGAGGGTCCAAAAAAGGGGCACAGAGTGTTTCAGTGCAGTTTGTTTGGCTTTGTATTGGGTAGATCATTTTGACTTGGTCATTTTGTAAGTAGCTCGCATGCTGAAATAGTGTGAGCACCACTGGACTAGACGGTTCACAAAAACCCTGGAAGTGCGAGTTCAGGCAGCAACCAATCAGAGAAGAGCCAGACATTCTGTGTTGGCAACGATCGAGGATTTAAAGCCGGAACAAAGAGAATGTTTGGTGAATTTTATCAAGGGGAAAGGCGTTATTGTTCTTCTTCCTACAGGATTTGGGAAAAGCTTAATATACCAGTTAACCCCGTTAGTGGCGCATTACATACGTCACGACCAAATCACAGCGACTAGTTAAATGAAAAAAGTACCTGTCTACTGTCGAGCGAACGAATCCTAATGTGAGGTCAGACGGTTTGTACGAAGTGACGAATCAGGCTATTAAACTTATGCATCTCCATAAAGACAAACATGTGACACACCGTCATATGAAGTTACAGGTCAGATCTGTGGAGAGAGCCCACTCAGACTGCGGATTCATGCTTAAAAGTCAAAGTTTCTGAGCAATAAAAACACCTGGAACTGAATCAATGCAAGTGCAAGAGACACTAGATCACGTTAATGTCGTACCGTGGAAGGTTCTGGGCAAAGCTATAACATCTTCATGAGACAAACAAGTGGCTGACGCTCCTCCATAAAAGTTCCACATTGCATCTTTAGTATGGAAAGATAGTCAAAGCAGCTCACATGGTGCTCACTGTTTACATAGAGACCAGAGATGATTTAGCTGTGCTCTCTTCAGGCCAGGAGCTGTTTAACAAAACCACAAAAGCGCTCCACTATTTCCCTGTAACACAAACTAGTAATTCATCAACACTAACACAGGGACCCCGGCTAAGTGCATGGAGCTGGCGTTAGCGGGGGACCACACCGGAGTCTGCAGTGATGAATAACCACACACATGCAGTACTCTCTGCAAAAC